TGGGGTGGAACCAAAAAAGGCAAGGCTGCCATTATTCATGTGAATAGTGTCAAACCTTGCCTTGCCTTCTCCTTTTTGGGGTGGAGGTGCTCTAAGAAGTATTTCCAACATGAGGAAAGAGTCACTACGGCTTAGCTCAACAACACCTGCGAAAAGCACAGGGAGAACCCTGTGGACTTTATGTGCCGATTCCGAGACCTGGCTCTAGACTGTTAAGATGAAAAAGATGAGGAAGCGCATGTAAAGATATGCATAAGTAACATTGTGGCAAGCATGTCAGTCAAACCAACCGAACAAAGAACATGGAGTAGTGAGAAGAAGGAAGCACACCAAGCGTTAGTTGTGGATGACAAGCGGTCCGGTGATTACAATTCATGCAAACGGAAGGACAGGGAAATGTATCTGCCACTACAGTGCAAAGACGAAGAGTTCCACGCCATTCTTGACACAATGTTTATTGCTGGTGCAATCAAACCTCTCATGCCTTTCAAAGTCCCTACCAGAGAGGAAAAGGGCAATACTAAGTACTGCCGTTATCATCAGTTTGTGGGGGCATCCAACCACTGCTTGTCAAACTTTGAGGAGAATCTTGCATGCCAAGATACATGAAGGAATTCTTGAGTGGCCCTCCAGGAAGCAAGCTATTGACGAGGACCCCTTGCCAAAGCAAAGGGGAAAAGAGATAGTCGTTGTTATCACATGCCCTAATGACTTGCTTGACGATGATGAATTGTATCACCTATGGAAGAATGACCCGAAGCCGCCATAGGCTATTTGGGAACCTTGCGGAAACATGGAGAAGGCCTACTGGTGAAAATATTCGAAACCTTCAAGCAATAACACCTCGTGGCCACTTGCTGATGGATGGGAGGACAGTTCAAGCAGCGAAGTAATCACATTAGACATGCTAGAAGAACATCACTTGGGGAATTCATTTGGTCAGCAAGAAACAGCCGCCGTAACATTTCATAATCTCTCAGAAGCTGAAAAAAGTGTGATGGAGCGTTACCTAGGTCTGAAACAAGGGCCTACTGCCTCGCAGGTCCTCCAAAGGAATCCAAAGGTCAAGTCACTCTTTGATCAACTTGGCTTTGAACCCCAAGCAAGAGAAGTAGCTACTGTAGCCCTCATGAACATCTTTGCAGAGTATAGTCCTCGTTGCTTAATGACTTCACTGACGAAGATATGGAAGTTCCGTATCCAGATAACAGAAGGCCACTTTACTTGGAGCAAATCAATGATATATTCATAAGGAGAGCTATGGTAGACACGGGCTCTTCTATCAACATATTGCCTCTATCTGTACTCACGGCAGCTAGCATCTCGTTATCTAAGATAGTGCAGTCTCAAACAAGTATCAGTGGTTTCGTGAATAAATACGAGGTTACAATCGGCTACGTCCAGATAAACTTGAAAGTGGGGCCAATCCGGTCGCTTACTAAATTTTATGAGGTAGATGTATGTGAGACCTTATTCTTAAAAATGTTAATATTTTATTACTTTGGTAAGTATTAAATTATAATTATAATTGTTGTACTTTTATGAAGAAAAAAAACTATAGTATTATAATTATTTTATGAAAGTCTATGTTTTATTTAATTGCTTCACCTAGTGCAAATTCATTCTTTTTAATTAAATGATTTTGATGATTTTCTTAAAAATTTGCTTTTAATATTAATATTAGTTAATGTTAGTAGCATCTTGTGCATAGCTATCTAAAAATTCATGCATGGGTGTTCTTTTATACTCCACGTAGTCAGCATGTGTCAAACAATTATGCATTGGATGGTTTACTTGTTTATTTACTTGCAAACTGATTATATGTCAATGAATTAGATGGTTGAGTCATCACTACGTGTCTTCACTATATTTGTTCAAATCCTTCTATTGACTTGGAGTGAAGGAAAAGTTACTTAAGCTTTAAGAAATAAGGAGATGATCCTAAAAGCATTGAAGTTATCTCATAGTTACCGTCCCTGGAATCTTATAAATACAACCATTGTTTCTTCAATTCTCATTTCCCTCTTCAAAAAAGTAGAGGCAGTAGAACAAGGAAATAAAATAGAAAGTGAGAGAGAAATAGAGATAGAAAGAAGTAGAATTGTCAAGAAAAAGAATGGGAGACTGAATTTGTGAATGCGGTGGAAATTAGGGAATCATCTAACAATTCTAGCAAAAACCTTTGGTGTCAAGGTAGGGATTTCTTGGAGGCTTTTACGATGATTGATCTAATTAAATTTCGTGAGGTCTATATTATATGTGATATTATAATGGATGTTCTTAATATTATAATTTTGGTTGATATTCCTTGTATTGGGTGTTTACATATTCTTAACTATTTGAACAATGTTGGCATAATTGTATATACATTGGTGATGTTTTAAGTGGTTACATTGTTGTGAGATACATGGAAGGCATAATTATATCATGTCATGGTTGGAGTTGTTGGATTAAGAAAATAATGATGGAAAAGATGGTAATGGAAATAGTCTTTTGTATAGTTGAGTCTAACTCTTGGTAGGTACCAGGTCTCAAGGATCCTATAGTGAACATGGTTTTTATTGGGTGATTCGGGACTGGCGAAAGGAGTTAGACAAGATGACTAACAAAAGGGGAATTATGGGATGATTAAAATGGGTGTTAGTTCACATAAATGGGCATTCGGGACCAAGTGGTATAAGCATGGTATGGGACGTGCAGGTCTGCTTGTCCAGTTATATGAATTAACGGGATTAGATGAAGAACTTTCATGCTTTATTATTATTATTAATGTGACATTTGACTGCGTAATTGCATGTCACTTAATTTAGTTATATCAATCTACTACGGTAAGGTCTCATGTCCTTACTGAGCTGTGGTTGCTCACCCATCACCCTGTTTAATTTTTCAGATGAATTAGTGGGCAAAAAAAGGAATAAACCAGTTGATGTTGAATTAGATGAGAGTGATAGAGCTTTATTTATTGTAAAGTTGTAAGATTTTGGATCTGTTTTTATAAGAGAAGTTTATTTTAAACCCATGTTTCAGCTTTCTTTTTATTTTATTTTACTTTTTATTTTCTCACGCACCAGGCGCGGGGTTTTCACCGACCCCCGAGTCCGGGGCATGACAATGTAGACGTAGCTTACCATGCTTTACTCGGGAGACCATGGCTTAACAAGCACAAGCTTGTAGTCTCCACCTACCACCAATGCATGAAAGGAAGGATTGGGATGAGGCCAATTCGTATACCTGGAAATCAAACGCCTTTCAATCAAAACAAGGCCCATTATTTGGAGGCAGAATTCTACACCGAATGTATAGGTGCTGGAAGCAACCCATCCAAGACCTTTGGAACATATCTACCTTACTCGATTTAAATTCGTGACCTTAGTAATGACAAACTTATAACAATTGTTGATAGAGAAAGGAAGATGCACTCGGAGGTCAACAACCATGCCTATGCCCAACCCCAATGCTCGAAGGTTACGTTACCTGACGGACGTACGGTGTACCGCTTATGAAGGGTTTAGGGGCCCAACCGTGTTTTCAGGAAAGCCACGAGTACAGAGGAGAAGTGATGCAAGCCGACAACCATGAAAATGCAGATGACATGACACCACACCTTGTGCTTTCCAAGAGCCTATGAAGACACCTAGGCATATGCAAAACGGTTCAACAGCAGTAGCGGAGCAGTTGGAAACAATCAACTTAAGTGATGACCCCTCTGCCCAAAGGCCGATCTCCATCAGCGTTCACTTGATAGGCAAAGAGAATGAAGATTTAACTTGTCTATTAAAGGAGTTCAAAGATGTGTTCTCTTTGAGCTACGAAGAAATGTCCGGTTTGGATCCAAACTTAGCGAGTCACACTTTGAATATTGAGCTAGGTACGAAACTTGTTGTGCAACCAAGAAGGAATTTTCATCCTGAAGTTGAAATGCAAATCAAAGTGGAAATTGAGAAACTTTTAGCCGCTGGATTCATCAAACTGATCAAGCATCCAACCTGGATAGCAAATGTAGTCCCAGTAAAGAAGAAGACCGACTTGATAAGAATGTGTACTGATTACCGAGACCTCAACAGAGTCTGCCCAAAAGATGAATTCCCACTACCCAACATGGATATTTTGATCGACTCGACCTTGAGGCAAGGCTTACTGTCATTTGTGGATGGATTTAGTGGCTACAATTAAATAAAAATGTCTCTTAAGGATGCTAAGAAGACAGCCTTTCGAACACCAAATGAGAATTTCTACTACATGGTCATGTCATTCGGTCTTAAAAATGCTAAGCTACCTACCAAAGGCCTATGACAGTTGTATTCCATGATATGACGGGAAAATAGGTGGAAGACTATGTGGATGATCTTGTGGTGAAATAAAAAACTAAAAAAGGCCATCAATAAGTTCTAAGGAGGGTGTTGGGAAGGTGTCGGTTGTACGGATTGAAAATGAACCCAAAAACATGCACATTCGGAGTTTCATCTGGCATATTCTTGGGGTTCCAAGTATACCAATGCGGCACAGATGTGGATCCTTAAAAAAAAAAAAAAAAAAAAAAAAAAAAAAAAAAAAAAAAAAAAAAAAAAAAAAAAAAAAAAAAAAAAAAAAAAAAAAAAAAAAAAAAAAAAAAAAAAAAAAAAAAAAAAAAAAAAAAAAAAAAGAAACCAAGGCCATAAATTCTCTCACACCACCTAGGAATCCACATGAATTGAAAAGTTTCATGGAAAGACTATCATACATTCGGCTCTTCATCCCTGGCCTTGCTGCCATAATGAGTGTTTTCACTCTTTTACACAAGAAGACCAAGCGTTATGTGTGGAGCAAGGAGTGCCAAGAAGCCTGTCAGCAAGTACAACAATTGATCACCAAGCTGCCCACAGGCACCTATTCCGAGACTTCCGCTCAAACTTTATTTGGCTGTAACAAATGTTGCTGTTGGGGCTTTGCTTGCCCAAAATAACCAAGACAAGGAAGAAAGTCGTATTTATTATGTGAGTAAATAGTTAAGGGGAGCTGAAATGAGGTACCCGAAGACCGAGCTCTTATGCCTTGCCTTTGTTTATGCTGCACAGCGACTGCGACATTACTTCCTTGCTCACAAGTTGCAGCTTATAGTAAAGTCTGACCCCGTAAGGTATTTTCTCACCAGACTAGTTTTGTCAGGATGCCTCACACGTTGGTTGCTACAACTATCCGAGTTTGATATCACGTGCATAACTCCTAGAGCTATCAAGGGACAAGCTGTGATCAATATGTTGGCCCTATTTCCTAAAGTAGAGGAGTCCACTCTCTCCAAAGAATTTCTGGGAGAGCTGCTGGGAATGGTTTCCATTGCTACGGAGAATGAACCACAGACCCTCTACTTTGATGGTTCTTATACATTGAATGGTGGAGGAGCAGGTGTGATACTCAATTATCCGAAAGGGCAAGCCACGACCTTCTTGTTCAAGCTAAATTTCCCATGTAAGAATAATGTGGCGGAGTACGAAGCTTTTATTATGGGATTGTCTATGGCAAAGGAGATGGGCGTAGAAAAGATTAAGATCATTGGTGATTCAAACTTAGTGCTAAGTCAATTGCAAGGGAGCTTTGCTGTGAAAGAGGCAACCTTGGCCCTATATCGTACAACTTCCAAAAAGCTTATTAGTTCTTTCATGAAAATTGTGCTGGAGCACATTCCAGGGATCACTAACAGATATGCTGATGCTTTGGCTACATTGGGGTCAAAGCTCTCATTTGTCAAAGAGCAACCCAATATTACTGTAATAAAGAAAGACATGTCATGAGGTATTTTGACCCGTTGCATAGGGATAACATAAGCACAAAGGAGGCTGCAAGAGGTGCATGAGGCCACTTGCAACCTAGAGCCAGTAATAAGCTTGTATCGGCGCCTGTAACACAAAGGTTACTATTGGCTAAGAATGAAGAGACAAGTAGCCAAAATTCAAGCGAACTGCCCCAAATATTCTACGATACCCTCCACCGAAGAATATTTCACCATCTCATTCATAGAAGATTGGAAAGCTCCATACTTAGCATTCTTCATCAAAGGAACTCTACCAACTAACTCCAAACACGCTCACAAGGTTAAAAAGACAATAAAAAGGAACTTCATATACAGATCGACTCTCTACCATACAATTGTGAGCCGTTAAAGTGCTTGAGAGAATTAGAGGCACATCAAGTCATGTAAGAAATACATGTTGGAGAATGCAGTGAGCACCAAGGAATAAAGAGGCTTCACTGGCAGCTGCTGAGTTTCGAGTACTACTGGCCTACTATGAAGAATGACGTACACAACTTTATGAAGAAGTGCCACACATGCCAAATACACGCCAATCTAAGCCACAAGCCTCCCACATTGTTGCAAGACATGTAACTCCTTGGCCTTTTCATACCTGGGGGCTTAACTTAATTGGGACTATACATCCACCTTCTGATGGCTACATATGGATCCTCACCGCCACTGAGTATTTCATAAAATGGGTAGAGACAGTTCTCCTTCGAAAGGCCACGAGGGATGCTATCTCAAATTTCATTCTTAAATACATCGTGTGCATATTTGGATTCTCATACAAAATCGTCACTGACAATGGCACGCCTTTTGTTAACAAGCAAGTGAACTCGGCACTTAGTGGCTACAGTATCAAGCATCGTCTCTACATGCTTCATTATTCACAAGGAAACGATCAAGTGGAGGCCAGCAACAAGACTTTACTGCGAATTCTGAGCAAAATGGTGTATGAGTATGAAGGGGGTTGGAGTGTTCATCTGCCAAATGACTTATGGGCTTACCGCATCTCCCCAAGAAGTGCCACAAGCTTCTCACCTTATTCACTCATATACGGGTCCGACGCCATCTCACCTGTCGAGATCACCATCCCCACTACTAGAGTATTAGCCGTTAACGACCTTAAATGGGATATGAGGTCAGCCTCGGACTTTCGCTTGTTAGACCTCGAAGCCTTGGACGAAAAAAGAGCAGAAGCTGAAAGGAGGACGGCATGCACTTTACCACAAAATTGTTGCCCAAGTTTATAACATGACAGTCAAGCCTAAAGCCTTCAAGCAAGGAGATCTCGTGCTAAAAGTTGCTAAGCACGTGAGAAGGCAAGTGTCAGGACCCTCCAAGTTTACCCCATAATAGGAAGGCCCTTTTGCAGTCAAAGAAGTTTACAGCAGTGGCTACTATCGCTTGGTCTCTGTCAAGGAAGGCACGCAAACGGATCCCATCAACGGGAAGTGGCTCAAGCCTTACTACTACTAAGTTTACCTTGTGTCTCACCCTTTTGTTATTGCATTTATTTCCGTTTTAGATATGAACTCCTTCTATATTCTTACCTTATGTTTTTAGAAAAACTTTTGTAAAATGCACCATTATGGTAGCATGGACTTTGCAATGAAAATAAAGGAGTATTTTGAAAATAATAATAATAATAATCTACCCTTGGAGTTGTTCCTTTCTATATTTCAAAATTCCCTTTGTGCTATAAAAAAAAAAAAAAAAAAAAAAAAAGCAACACAAGTATATGTGGGTATGCATATAAAATTTAAAAGAAAGAAAAACACTACTTAGCAGTAAGCATGCCAAGCAAAGTCACTTGGATAGGATCCTGAACTGTTAACAAACACCATGCCTAAGCAAAATTACATAAGGTGTGCAAAGCTAAGCCACGTACAATAGAATGTGTCTGTCATGAAGTGTCGGAACAACGGGACCATTGGTTCCTATTAATAGCTAAGATTACCAGGATGCCCACGACATCCATGGGTTTCATGAGAACCTTAGAAAAAATCATGCACATATTGGTCTGGCCCCCTTTAAGGCATGACAAGAGGGTGCACTTTAGGCCAAACAACTAGACAAGCCATGCCACCAAAAAAAAATTGTTAAAGCAATATGTACCTTGTTTTAAGGCTACCCAACCAGTCATAAAATTTCAAGCAGTTCAAAAGGATAAAATCCGCCAGCCAAGCAACATATTTATATAAGGCAAGCGGGATTACAACATGTCTCAAGTATTCCATAAATTAAAACAAGTTCCAGCAATTCAGACATAACAACACCACATTACAAAGTCATGACAGTATGAGTTTTAGGGTATCCAAAAAGAAATATAGCCGGAGCAAAATAAAGTTACACATGCCAAAGGTGAATACACCTTTCAATTTCAAAAAAATTTACTACATGCCAAGCCAGCCCTTCACACCAAGCAATGCAACCTAGAAGGCAAATAAGAATAAGTGTCAAAATGGACTGGTATTGGAAGATGTTACCTCCCAAGAAAAAGAAAAAGAGTAAAATGGGAAAGAATAAAGAGTCACAAACCTCAAGACCACGGGGTGTTACTAAGAAGAACAGAGGAAGCATCATGAGATGACCTAGCAGATGCTTTAACCACGCATTCGGCACCACTGGCAGAAGCCCTTTTGGCCAAAAGAAGAGCATGTTGTTCATGGCAATGATCCTCCAATTCTCATTGCTTAAGGCTCAAAAGTATCAACTGCAGCCTTTATCCCATCAAAACCAATCAACGACTTCATACTATGGATGGCCCGAGCGCCGAAAACAGCACATGCTAAATCCTTCAGCATGTTAAGAAGGAAATCCGCTCGAAATCCCAAAGGCATGGCTTCACAAATCACATCCCGCCAGCAAAGGAGTTTATAATCTATAATGTCCAAGAGATGCATTGTATCCATGCCATAAAGCACCAAGTTGAGAACCAGAAAGGCCACACTCCTTGAGAAAGCAGGGAGAGAACACCTACTCTCCATAAAAGCCTCATACCTGTCAAAGAATCTGCTCAAAGCTTCAATTGTTTACAGATACACAAAGGCACCCCGAATGTCGCAGAACATTCAAACCTATGGCAAAAAGGAAGAAGTTCAGCAATAGACATGAGGACCTTGACGTCACCATTGAAAAAGGCCTTGAATGCAGCGAACGAATCCTCCCAGTCCAGCCAAGACATGCTGGACGGACAATCAAAATCCCCCCTAAATCTCTCTCTCCCCCTTACTCTAAACCTTCATCTCCATAAGAAATTCAAGTTATTTCTCTCTATTGCTAAACTTGTGAAGGCTTAGCTCCCATACCACAAACTTCTCAAGTCAAGCCATATTGCTAATCTATCACAACCGTTTGATTTATTGGTGAAAGGAATCTAAAAGTGTTTTCTAAGGCTCCACGAATCTATCAAAACACTTTTGGGGCTTGGTTCTCAAACTCAGGCACATGGGCAACTTTATCTATCTTTTCTTTACGACAGCCTAAGCCCATTGGTCAGGCTACTGGGACCAAAAAAGCCCCTACACAAATTAACAAGCATAAGTTAATTATTAATAGTATTCCGATGTTAGATGAGGATTCATGTTCGAATCTCCTCTCATTATTGATAAATAAATAAAAATTAAAAAAACAGTATCATGTCATTGAAAAAACTATCACAATTTTATACTAGAATGGACGTGACTCAATTTAATTCGCTCTAGACATTAACCTAATTATACAATTGAATAAAACCAATTCATTTAGTGACTGGTCTGGTTCAGTTATTTTCTGGTTATAGTTGAGAAAAAAAATATCCCTTTGAAAATTGTGAAATTTTGCGAGATATAATGCCAAATTTGAATGACGTTGAGATTTTATTTTTTGCTACTAAATCGTTGACATCAATGTATGAGATGAAACATATAAGTGAAATATTATAAACCAATTAATTGCATTTTGGTTCATTTCAAATCGAAATTCCACATTTTTGTGTGTGTAAAAATCAAACTAGACCGTAGTTTTGGTTCAAAAATAAAAAAATTCACACAAAATGAATATTGTCATGTTGATTCTATTTTTATTTATTTATCTTTCAATAATTCATAAAAATCAAAAATAAAATTAACCCCACGTGTGTGTGTGTGTGTGAAAATATTTTTCCATTGATTTTGTGTCTTTTGATTTTACCTTTTAACAAATAGGAAAGGGAAGGAAAGAAAGGGAAAAATATATAGAGTGAGTTTAGACAAATTAATTTGACAATAGGAAAGGAAAGGAAAAATATTTTCTTAAAATTTTGCATGAAATTTGTTTAGTACTTGACTCACCGAGTTATGCATTTAATTAAAACAGCTGGTGTTTCCGCGTGTTTTTTACGCGCAACAACTCAGCAACTGAGTCACCGAGTTATCACACCGACCTTTCATTTAACATTTTGAAAACCAAAATAGCGCCACAACAATACATTCCCTCTTCTTTTCGTCTCTGTCTGTTTCTCTGCAACAAGTAAGCGAAAGCGATCGAGTGAGAGTATTGAGTTCAACGATTGAGCGAGTGATCTTTTCTGCAACGATTGAGCGAGTGATTTTCTGGGTTCTCTATCTGTAACGACTCTGTGAACTTTTGGGTTTTGAAATCAAGAATGGCGTGGTCTGCTATAAAGCGCAGACAATTGGAGGATGATTTTGGCTCCTTTGAGTTTCAGTTTCAGACCCAGAAGAGGATAAGGTCTTCTAGGGTTTCTGAGACCCAACGGAATGTAGCCGTTGAGGAAAAGTCGACCGTTGGTCTTCCTCTGCGCGAGGGTTTGGCTTCGTCTGCTACAAAAAATGCCGACACAGAATCAGAAGATCTGGGTTTTGATGAAATCTGTCAGACCCAGAAGAGGAAGAGGTCTTCTAGGGTTTCTGAGACCCAACGGAATGTAGCCGTTGAGGAAAAGTCGACCGTTGGTCTTCCTCTGTGCATGGGTTTGGCTTCGTCTGCTACAAAAAATGCCAACCCGGAATCAAAAGAGGGTTTTGATGAAATCTGTCAAACCCAGAAGAGGAAGAGGTCTTCTAGGGTTTCTAAGACCCAACGGAAGGAAAAGTCGACTGTTGGTCTTCCTCTGCGCAAAGTCAAAGGTTTGGCTTCGTCTGCTTCAAAAGAGACGTTGGATTGTTCTAAGGTCTTGGATTCTCTGATGAACCTCGGCCATGCGAGCTACTTCAACAAGCCTGTTGTTGATCCTGTGGCTGAGAATCTGCCGGGTTATTTCGACGAAATCTGGAGGCCGATGGATTTGGGTACTGTGAAATCGAAATTGGAGAGGGGTGTCTACTCCATCGCTGATGACTTTGCTGCTGATATCAGGCTTATCTTCTCAAACGCTTTCAGATATTTCCCCCTTGGGAGTAGAAATCGTGCAGCAGCCAAGCATCTCAGTGGGGTTTTTGAGACCCAATGGAAAGAAGCCAAGGAGAAAATGTCAAATGCTGCTTGTCCTCCTCTTACTCCTCTGCCCAAACGGAGACCAAATGGCAAGAGCTCTTCTGCTTGTAGGGTTCTTATGCAAAGTCAAGGGGTTGTTGGGGTTTCTGATTCTCACTCAGTTAAGTCAACCAAAGATGATGACTTGGGCACCCTTGTTCAGCATGCCATGTATCAGGCCACAGACAATCTTTCTCCATGTAAGGCTAGGCGAATTCAGTCGCCCAAGATGCGATTTTCAGGTACAATACGGAAAGCAAACAAGATACTAAAGGGTCTACCTGATTCTCCACCAAGGAGAAAATTGATGCATCGGATGGAGCAAAGGGAATCGGCTCGCCTTGCTATTTTGAACATGGAGAAGTCAGTCCAATTTGAGGACCCTTTAAAGGATCTCAAACAACTTGAGATTCTGTGTGGCTGTGGCAGTGAAAAGGTCTACCTTGGATTGCCTCTTAAGCATTTGGGTTTGTACCTCAAGGAAGATGACGAGTTGCAGGGTCAGGACGAGGAGGCGTTTCTGAATGGAGATTGGGAGGAAGGCGAGATCTGCTGGCAGGAAGGCTATTGGGAGGAAGGTGAGATCCGCTCATGAAGTACAGGTTAGAGTTTACAAGGAAAATGAGGCATAGGTTACAAGCCACCTTGCCTCTGTTATTTGTTGTATATCGTAGTTGATTATATACTATAGCAATTCTGATTTTTTATTGTTGAGATGCCAGATTTGGAATATAACCCATTGCTCAACAAGATAGATGACTTAGAATCTTGCTATTAGGAAATCTCTTTAAATTTT